GATTCTCAAGTTTTATAAAATGATTCTCGAGTTTTATAAAACGATTCTCTAGTTTTATAAAATGATTCTCGAGATTCATAATACTGTTGCGTTTACGCGTTTGCGGGGAATTTTGGCTATTGATTCCGTCGTACCGATTTTGACCCAACAACTTTTATCCATAAGGGACAGAATGTCTACTATGGACAGAATTGTGGTTTGGAATCCAGGTGTGGATACTAGTTGTGTTTTTTGTAAAAATGCACAAGAAACTAGGGACCATCTCTTTTTTGAATGTCATTATACTGCTCAAGTCTGGGAGTATACTGTCAAAGGCATTTTGCTTGACGCTTATACCAATGTTTGGTCTGATATCTTGGTTCAAGTTGTTGATGAGACCAGGGAAAGGATGAGTCTTTTTTATCTTAGATATGCGCTTCAATCTGTTCTTTATGCGGTTTGGAGGGAAAGGAACAAGTTGAAGCATGGAGACAAGCTTTTGTCAATCTCGGTACTGTATCGTATGGTGGATAAAGGCATGAGAAACAAAATCAGTCTGATGAAAATGAAAGGGGTGAAAGGCATGGATGGGTTAATACAGTACTGGTTCCTTACAAGACTGCAATGCAGTTTTTTTACTTTTGAGATAATTTGATTACTTGCTTGTTTTACAAATAAAAAGGATGCACTTGTTGTATAAAGGTTTTTTGTGAATAAAATTTAACATTCATTCAAAAAAAAAAGCTAGCATGGTGATTAAATTACCTTAAAGTCTATACAGTTTTGTAGCATCTAGCTGTCTCTCTCTTTGACTTTGATCATGTCACTTTATTTTGTTTGGTTGGACTTGAGGAAGGTATCTGAAAGAAACAGGACACATCTTGGAGATCGAGTGGAAGAGAATGATTCACTACTGGCGATCATACGAAGCAAGGTCAAACTCTCTATAGAACTCATCTTTGACTTCACTCAGATATAATAAAGTGTATAACCGACTATAACCAATATAAAATGCATTAACTGTAGTTTGAACTTGACACCAGAACATGCGTCAGTGAGGCACAACTTTCAAGTAGCTGTTCCTACGACCATCTTGAAGGTCACTGCAATTTTAGAGAAACCCAATAGTCTACGGCATGTCTCTCTCTCCCTCTATCCTTTATTGGTTTCATTTTGGAAATGTTATAGTATGAGAAGAAATTATTCATGTATTAGTTATTATATACTAATATACATGTAGGCAATGGCCGGAAGTGACGACGATCAAGATTCAGATAGCTGGAGTGAGTGAATGAATCCCTCTCTATGTAACATATTGATTATACTCATACATTTTGTAATTTGTATAGAAGAATTGTTAGCTTACTCTCAGAAAGAATTGTTTGGCATTGGTTTACATTTCGGTTATATTTGATGTTGCCTCTTGTGTGATGTTTTTGTGATTAAATTGTTTTGTGCTATTAAGGAAAATGTTCATTTTCATATCAGTTTTTAAATTTTAGATGTTAAATAATATTTATTAAACTTAAATGATTTCAAGTAGTTAGTATTTTATTAGATGTTCACTATATTAATGTACTAGGGTCGGACCCGCCCTACGGGCGGGTAAGTAAATATGTAAAATAATAAAAATAAAGTTAAAAAGTTATTTTCAAAGATATTAATGTTTACTACTAATTTTTCCTAATTTTTTATTATTTTCATCAATTATATAACGTTTAACTATTAAAATGCATTACTTTTTTTCAATATTTGTTCTACTTTGAATTAGATGGTAAAATAATAATTTTTTTTTAAATGTAGTTAATTCTATGCAACAGGGAAAAAATCATTTTCTCTTATATATATATATATATATATATATTTAATTCAGTAGCTTTTTTAATTAATAATTTGAATGATGTGAAATAAATTGTTTATTCACTATAACAAAAAAAAATTGAAATTATTTAGGAATCATAAAACCCCAATACTAAAGGATTTTTTTTAAAAAAAATTATACTTGGTCTAATTCGCGCCAAAATTTGTTTTCGTTATGTTTTTCCGTTTTAACACTTGTTATTTAAAATTTATATATTATATTAAGTTAGGTAGAATAAATTTTATTATATAATTGCTGAGATAAATTGAATAGGGCAATATTCTGATTTTATTTTGGCAATATTGATCATTTAACATGTTCATTTATTTTTCTCCTTTTTTTTTATCAAATTTATTTTTCTCCTTTTATATATTGTATTTTGTTCGGATGGTGCGAGCATATATATACTTATTATTTATCAGTACGCAATTTATGGTTGAGTTTGTTTTTTTTTTAATTCACTATGTCAACGTTTTATATTGAAAGGGTCCAAAAGCACGTCATTACAAACAATTCAACCCATCATGTACAATANTCTAAATTTAGGTGGAAACAATAATTTTATATTGGAGAAAACTATTCTTCCCTCCAATTCTCCTCTTTCTTTGAGACGCACATATTCTCCATCTATTTATTTTCCTCTTTTTTCTTAATTAACCATTGTCTTTTATTTCCTATCACTCTCCAAAAACAAAAAAAAAATGAAGAAGATACAGAATCCTACTACAACTACACTGAATCATTAAATATATTTAAGACTTAGTACTTGGTTTTTTAAATTCGCTAAACGTACTTGTCTTTCCCAAACTTCAGATATGAAAGGCAAATTGTTGCAATCTTCTGCATTGGCTCTTTAATTTTCTACTAACACATAAATACATGTAGATTCCTCGAAATGCAGACAAATCCTCTAGGTAGATTCTTTTCAACAGGAAATGAGGTTTTAGTCATCTTGACACCAGGTCATGTCCATATATGAATGATAAAGGAACTCAACCCCAATGACCAGTCTTTAAGAATAATAGAAGATTTATTTGAACTTTGAAACATGTTTCTCTGATCTAGAAGATTCGTTGTGCCTTCTCACTGACGTGTTATCAAGAGGAGCCGAAAGAAGCTTGTCTCCTCCGAGGTTGGTACATGCGAGGTTGCCTTTAAGTATAATGATCATAATTGGCATATGTACATATCTAAAACTGAGATGTTATTTTCCATTTTTCTGCAAAGGTACCATGGTTTCAGACGTGGTGGTGGAGACGATGATAATATAGAATTTGAAACGTTGGGTGATTTGCGTGTCAAATTACATGTTCATACGAAGTGTTGCCATTACACATTGGGTGATTCGCGTCTCTGGCATTGAATGTGCTCTTGATTGAGCTTAACTCACCAATAATTCCTAAAAAAATTAAGAATGGATCATGAAAATAGAGTGGGGGTGTTTGAATGGGAATCTGTAGCTACAAAAGATAAGAAACAAACCGGATATGTGGGTGTTGGTGTTTGCCAATGTAAGTACGTCATCATGTTTGCGGAGCTTAAACATCTCCAAAGGTATTGAATTAATGGAGCTAATTAACTCCATAAACGCCGTTAGCTCATAGAAGCGTATGGAGAGGGGGAAGTGGGAGAGTTCGAAGTTATTGTTGCTCTGTGAACCTTCATGTAACAGCTGTATAAAAGTGCTCAGGTGGTTAGCGTTGATGGAACCTTAATAAGAATCGGTCAAATCANCTCATAGAAGCGTATGGAGAGGGGGAAGTGGGAGAGTTCGAAGTTATTGTTGCTCTGTGAACCTTCATGTAACAGCTGTATAAAAGTGCTCAGGTGGTTAGCGTTGATGGAACCTTAATAAGAATCGGTCAAATCAATACAAAATTAAGATTTCTGCGGAAGCAATTCAGCTTAAAATCAGAAAAAGGTGTATCTTCGCAAGAGTTACCTGTAGCCATATGAAGAGCATGTCTACTCCGATGAGCCCTCTTCCTTTTCACATGTTACGCACCTCCCAGAACCGAAGCAGTTGCGCGTCAACAGTTTTAGTACCTATGGTGTGATTGATGAGTTTCGAAGCCAGTAACATTATTTGTAGGTAGTTTACAAAAAAAAACATTATTTGTAGGTGAAGAATTCCTGCAGAATATGAACCCTAATTTCTCCATCAGAGGGGTGTGGGAAATCTGTCGCCGTTTTGTAATACGGCCAAAGGCCCAATAACCAAATGAAGCCCGGTTCTATTTTGAAAGGCGTGAAACGCTGAGTTTTAGAGCCATGGACACGTGTCACGCCCATGTTCACCGAATTAATGACGTGGCACCTGCAGGAGGGAGAAAACTCTATTATATATATATAGATAATACAGTAATATTAAAAATATTTACATATATTGTTTAAGAGAAAGTTAAAACATAGATTTTAGTTTTTGTTAAGAAATAGATATATTTAAAATTTATTTTTTCTTATATTTTGAAAAATTATTTTTCAAATATCATAATTGGTCAGCAAAAATGATTTTACAAAAAAAAAACAGTTAATTGCAAACAATCAACACCTAAACATTACGTAGAGGAAACAAATAAACAAGACAAAAAAAAACACAAAAACAATAACAAAACATAATTGTGTATAAATTGTAATCCATATTATAGCTTTTATTAATACACGTGACGTAATCCATATCATTGTTAAAAAAAAAAAATACACGTGATCGTTACATAACAAAGGTAAATGAATGATTGAATAAACTGGTAATCAATTCATAGGCGTGACACACAGATTGGCGCAATGAAATGAATTCTTTTGTTTGAAGAGTTTTCCACAAAAGTCACATGTGAATTTTTGAGAGATAACTCAGAAAAAGTACTGTGGAGCTCAGTAATTTGGTTTAAGGAAGGGATACGTAGGTGCTATTTATTGCTTGGCTATCGAATCTAAACATATCTGGAGACTGTTCTTTGTTCACAGGCCATGAAATCCCATGACCACATTTTCTTCTCATGTGCATACTCGCTGAGGTGTGGTCTCACTTTTCTGCTCATGTTCGCTTGGGTTAGACTGCTCATCTTATTGCCTCAGCGATCTGGAGTAAAGAAATAAAATCAAAACAATAACACATAATAAGATGTAAGAAAGTTGAGACTGGAAAAACAAAACTACCTGACTAGATTGAGGGTATAGAACTTGGTCTGCAGAGGATAGGAAAGGGAGGTTTCAAGTCATTTGCATAGGTAACCACTTTGGCTTGGTACTCGACAAGAGGTCCATTTAGAGATTCACGAGCCATAAACGTTATGTAAGCTTTTCGGGTACCTCCACCAAGTACAATAACTCTAACAATATCAACCAATTCAACGGTCTTTTCCTACATATATATATATATATATATGAAAGGAAATGAGAAATCCATAATGAAACTTATACATATCTCATTAATCAGATCATTAACCTTAGTCTCGTTGAGTTTCTTAACACACAAGTTTGCAAGATCTGTCATCAACTCCCGAATAGTCACGTTGTTATACACTAATGCATCGAGATCTTTAATTGGATAGTTTCCGCTCAGAGGTTCATAAATAAAACCCTAACATTGAAACGGAGATGATTTTTTTACGAATCAATTAGACAACGTGAATCTAGCCAAAAAGAAAAAAACAATTACCTTACTATCGAAAGCCCTGCGTCTTTCGAGACGGTACTTCTCATACTCTTCATCGTCAGAGAACAATTTGCTATCATCCGGATCTGATTCGTACTCGCAACCATCGTAGCTGTCCACATCCCACTGGGGTTTACAACCCAATTCAGGCACGTGTGTATCACTGAATATTTCCTCTTCCTCATCGACCTTCTTCTGCTTTTTCATGGGCGACGTTTGCTCTTCTTCCGCCAAGGAATCCATCGTAGGGGATCGTCTCGCTACCCCTCGCACTGGGACAATTTCCATATGATTTTTAAAAAATTCTAAAATGGTCCCATGATATTTTGTTTTAAATTTTGAATTAATTTAAATAGAAACGTGGATAAAGTCATAAATTCTAAAAAGTTTTACATATTTACCAAACAATCAGTTCATCCGTATTCGACTCTAAATCCATATTACCCAAAATTAAGATCATATTTCGTTTGATATTTTTCCTATTTAAAGTTAATTTTACTAATTAAGAAAAATGTCACTTAAGCCACTAACTTTCAAATTTAGTTAAAACAAAACATTGATTTTTTTCGTACAGCGAAAGAAAAAAGGTTTACTAACTACATGAAATATATTCTAATATGGTGGAAACCATCTAAAATCTATTCTATTAAACCTGAATCATGACCAGTTGATATAAATGTATTCCAACAAAAAAAAAAATAACATCTAAATATAACTGCACAAAGTATATCGTATAATATAACTGCAACAAAAAAACACTGCATAACTTAATCTATAGTCAACATTCCATAACCACTAAAGTCTTATTTTTAAGGGATACTAATATTGCAATAAATATACGAATATATATATATATAATTTTTTTTCTTACTCCTTTTTGAAACAGCAACCTTTGAATGTTTAGAGAGAGAAATCATTTTCTATGTTTTGAGAAATTAGTCGGCTGCCCAAATTTTCTGTCTTTTTCATTTACCATTTGGGCCATTAGTCACAATTTTTAAATAAAATAGAACTGGGTTTTAAAACTAAAGTTGGCCTTTACATATTCATCGAGTTAAAATCTACAAACACATTTTAAATTGCATGACAAATTGTTATGTGTTGTAATAACATTTAATAAATTATTATACATATAAAATTTAATGGAAAATATATAATTACATATATTTAATTACTATCTGATTACTAAATAGAATTTTATACTTTGTTTATCAAAAAAATAATAACCATTATGAAATAAAATTCAAAATAAATATGTGAAATGACTATGGCACCAAGATATAGTTATGCAACATCACAAATTCAATATAATTTTTTAAAAAAATATTCCTAATAATATAAATGTTTAATAATATATTTTAGTAATTTACATATAGAGTAAAATATATTATTTTATAATATAAATGTTTAATAATATATTTTTGTACATAATATTATATTAGAAATTTTATAACTTGATGTACTTTGATGTAATTTTACTATTCAAATATTAACATATTATTTTTAATTTATTTTAAAATGAAACAACATACTAACAATTATTTTTCATTAGTTTTTAAGGAGTTATCATTAATTTTATGATATTTTGTTTTCTTGAAAATTGAACTCTCAAAATTTTATATTTGACTAAATTAAATAAGATAATACTATATTTTAAAATTATTTATATAATATATACCATGTATTCAGTTTGTGTTTTTATTTCACCACAAAATAAAGAAAAATATATTGTAATTAATTAATTTAAATTGATTTAAAATGTATATAAGTAAAAAATAAATAAAACAGAAAAGTGTTTAATTTATTGTAAATACAATGACTAAATGTAAAAATAAAATAAACTACTTAATCTCTTATCCATATTTCGAAATAATTCTCATTTATTATAGTATCTTTATTTCCAAACAATACTAAAATGTACTCAGTTTTAATAATATAGACGTACTTAATGTTAAAATGAATTATTCCAAAAATGTACAGGATTAATTGATTAAAATTTGAAATATTTTCCAACTAATATCAAAGAAAGATTGTGTCATCTGCTATGGTACATCATATTACCATTTAAATTAAAACCCAAACTCACACTAGACAAATATTAGTAATTTAGTTTTGAATGGCAATCAAACTTGGAACCAACATGGATACACAATGAGCACCAAGATGTTACGACCACTTGTGCCAAATAACTATTACTCTCTTCATTTTATTTAATTGTCGTTTTAGGTTTTTACACACATATTAAGAAAACATTTCATTTTATATATTTTCAAAATAAAAACACAATTATCTATATACCTAACCACATTTCAACTAATAAAAAATAGAAAATTATATAAAGTTAATAAATTATGCATAGAAATTATAAAACGATACTTATTTTGAAAAAAACAAATTTCTTTACAACGACATGTAAAATAAAACGGAGGGAGTAGAAAATATTAGAAAATCTACTTGAAATACAAAATATTATTAACTAAACCCGATTCGAAAACATTATGCTTAGTTATTGTATCAATGACTTTCTCTGAATCTCAAAATGATACCACGTTTAATATTGAATTGTAAATATGTTTTATTTAGATATCTTAGCAACAAAAATGCTCTAAATAATGTTTATACTTGAACACTAAGGAACATCCACGCGGCAAAAATCACTTAATCTCTTCTCTTCCCCGCTCAATATCCGATTCAGTCATCACTATCCCGCAGCTTGACGACGGCTCTGATTGAGATGGAGCACCAGCAGAAGAAGACGAGGCGCTTCTTCGATCTCTGCTCAACATCCGAGTAAAAGATACCATCCGACTCATCCTCGACACCTCAACCACGGTCGATCCCGGTTCAGTAGCAGAAACCACCGGTTCAGGAGAAATCGTGATCGCGACTTGCTCCTCCACCGTTGTTGCGGGAAGCTCAACTAGTGAACGGCAGAGAGGACAAGTTGAATGAGAATGAAACCACATATCAATACATTCAACATGAAAAGTGTGTTTACAACCGGGCAAAACCCGAACCAATTCTCCCTCCTCGAACTCAGAAATACAAACGGAGCAATCACTCAGACTCGCATTGTCGGAGGAGAAAGTGACAACAGGAAGAGAATTAACGATGGCGGGATGTAGACCGCGCGAGGTGGTATTAGAAGGATTAGTGGGGACGAAGAAAACCATTGTAGGGCGGCGGTTACGGTTACGGTTGCGGATGTGATGACTCATAGAGCGGGAGACACAGCAGTGATTCTTGAGAAGGTCGAAGGCCAAATACATGAAGGAGATGATGATGATTGCAAAGATGAATGTCACCAACGGGTCATTATGCTCGTTGAAGTACATGATTCTGACGATGAAATGAGAGATTCAGAGAACAGGTGAATGTGGTTTTAAAATTAGTATCGTGAGAGAAAAGAGAGGTTTATGAGTCATGAGACTAAATGATAGTCAAAATTGACACATAAATTTTCTCTTTGACCATTTTCCTATTCTTTTTTCTTTTTCTTTTGTTCCCTCAATATTTAATTTAGAGATATCTCAAATTCAAGGGACAGAATTACTCTCACCCAATTAAAAATCACCTTCTGTTTGACAAAATAATTGTATTCCTACCTTCACCCAATATTACATCTTGTTATTAAATATACATAAATATATAATTCTTTTTATGACTATATTATAGATTTCCTATCATTTTTAAGGCTACATTGTAATGAGACTGATGTGGAGATCTATTTCTTACTATATCACATGTTTTATTCATGTTCATTTCTTGAATAACTGTTTATAAAAAAATTTAACTTCTTAATTATAGTTTCGTGAAAAAGTCTATAAGTTAGTGGTGATAAATCTTAAAATAAATAAATAAGTAATTTTATTATATGTTGTAATAATGCTGAAGAAAACACAATTTTGAAGGTAATTAAAAAGTTCTTAAAATTTAATTTTAAATATATGACATTCAGTATCATATACATCATTTGAAAACTGTATATAACTTTATAAACTCAATTCCACCTCCAAAATACTAAAAAATAATCAGTAAGTTTAAGCCTAAATGCTATAATATTTTTACTTGAAGAAAATATCTATATTAACATTCCGTTTTAGATTTGTAGTTTTTCCTATGTGTGCTTTATAATTATTTTAAATTACTCGCTTCACATTTTAAGTAATAATAATGTTGTTTATCAGATTTTAAATAATTTTACTAATTCATTATTTATTGATGATATATTCTCATTATTAAATTTTAATTAAAATCGAGTGATAAACCATAAAAAAATAAAATGTAATAAGATGATGATGAAACTTGATTTTTTTTGACCAAACACATATAAAGATCACTTATAGTAACAATAATAATAATCTATTTTTATGACCAAACACGAATATATATATATATATCAAACATGTGTCTGGTTTTCATATGAGACATATATAAATTAAGACCAGTGACAACAACATCACAATTTTTTATCTTGTTATTAAATAGTTTAAATATCATATTTTCATCAAATTATTTTTATAAAATTACTATTAAATAAGTTCGTATAAGTTTACCTTTTTTAGGATATACAAAAGGAACACATTCTATTTTATAAATTTTTACTTATACTTAATAAGAAAAACACTATCAAATACACTTTTTCATTTTTTTGTTTAGGATTTCAAAATGAAATTACAATCATATAACATTTTACAATTATCTCATGTTTAGAATTTCAGATAATTATCAAATAATTATTTTCGGTTACTATTAAATAATCTTAAAATTACTAAATTTACAATTCGTATCACTACTATTTTTAAAATTTTATTTTGTTAATTAAATAATTATTAATTAGTATCATGTCCATCATCAAGTTATCTTTTTTAAAAATACTATCAAATAAACTTTTACATTTCTCTTTTAGCTACAGCCTAAAAAATATGATAATATCTTTTTTAGGATTTTTAGGAAAAGGAAAACTAATATCAAATATTATTTACGATTTTTCTTATAGAATTTTAGAAAAGGAAAACTAATATTACATAATCTTTTGCAGATATATTTTTTCTAGGATTTATAAAAATAGAATTACTATGAAATAATTATTTTCAGTTAATATTAACTATTTTAATAAGTTTCTATTTTCAAAAGTCGTTTTTTGAATGCAAAGTTTCTGTTTTGAAAATTACTATTCTTTTTGTAAGATATTATTTTATAGTAATTTTTTTTAATTCTAAAAAAAACTGTTAAGGAATACATTTTTAATATTAATTTTCCTTTTATAAATCTATTTTAAATTCTAATAAAAAATATTATATTTTTGACACTGGCATTAGATTGTAAATATTGTGCAAGTCTAAGAAATATTTTTATGGATACTTCTCTTTTAATAAAGTAGATTAAATATCAAATGTTCAACAGAAAAAAAATCAGATAAACAACATTAATAGTTTGATACTAACATACAGTAAAACATCTTTAAAATAACTTAATAATATACATAACGATTTTCTTAGTAATATTGTTATTAATTATCAAAGCTATAATTCATTTTTAATAATTAATGAATTGTCATTTTTAGTGAGTCTTCTTTTTTTCTTATGATGTCAAACAAAATGGTGATAGTTAAACTCCGTACTCCTGAATATATTGGATTTTGACTAACACATTAAAAATGTACTAATGTTTAGGTATCTATTCAACTGGCCTGTTTACTCGGATTCAACGCTCACCCGTTCGCAGCAAATAAAGACTCCTGAGCATATTGTCGTCAGTTCCACATGATCTGGATAAGCATCATTCATAAATAAATACAATAATGCATTGGAGGAAAAAGTAATTAATTAAATACTACAATATAATGCAATTTAGAAACGATCTTTAAACTTTAATGTACTTTGTCAGTTTCACTTATGGCATGTTGATATGTGTTGATCGATGACTCATCTGGAAACTGTAACTGCATACTCTCTCTGTTTCATAATAAGTGTCATTTTAGACTTTGGCACACGAATTAAGAAAACAATTAATTTTGTATATTTCCTATATAAAAACACAATTATCTATACACCTAACCATATTTTAACCAATAGAAAAATAAATTATAGAATAAAGTTAATAAATTTTGCATTGAAAACCGAAAACGACACTTATTTTGTAACGAAAATTTCTCTCTACAACGATACTTATTATGAAACGGAGGGAGTATTAAATATACCAAAATATAGAACTAGATTGTGTCAGTGGGAATTAACCAAAGTGAATGAGATATCTACCTACCGTTTTTTTTTCTTCTGCGCATGATAAAAACTGTATTCAGAACAGTCAATACTCTGAGTCTTTGACCAAATAAATCAAATCCTGTATAAATAGCAGTGCCTTGTATACTTCGTCTTCACCTTAAAAACAACTTAACAAGAAAATTTAAAGCAGTATGGAGCCAAAATATACAATTTTTCTTGTTCTACTTCTCTCAACAGCCACTCTCCAATCTTCTTCTACAAACCCAAATCGGTCCGGACAAGACCCGTTTATCTTCTCATCATGCCAAACCACCCGATATCCAACACTATGTGTGCGTACTCTCTCTGCTTACGCCACCATGATTCGACACAACAACGACCAAGATCTCGCTCAAACCGCTCTCACCATTAGCTTAGCTCGAGCCAGATCCGTCGCTATATTCGTCGCCAAGCTAACCAAAGGGTATGTCCTTATGCATGTGTCCTTAGTTACATTTTTCCTACATTATCTATAGATTCTATAAAATAAACTAGACTGATCTTTGTGACAAAAAAAAAAATTAGACTGATCTCTGGCCTATGTAAGTACTACGACAACATAAGTTGCACAACATTTATATTTTTTTTTTTTTTTGACTGAAACAACATTTATGTTTAGTAAAAAAAGACATTTATATTTCCTCATGACGATTGATTTTATTTTACTTTCGTATCTATGTAGAACACCTGGTTTCAAACGTAGAGAATATTTGGCGATCAAAGACTGCATCGAAGTGCTAGGCAATAGCGTGGACCGGCTAGGCCAGTCAGTTAAAGAACTAGGTCGAGCTGGTCATGCAGTGGCTAGTGAGGACTTCATGTGGAAGATGAGTAACGTTCAAACATGGGTTAGTGCCGCTTTGACGGACGAAACTACGTGTCTAGACGGATTTTCGGGTCAAGCCATGGGAGGCAAAGTGAAGAGGCTGATTCGTTCTAAAGTGGTTCACGTAGCTCAAGTCACTAGCAACGCTCTTGCTTTGGTTAATCATTTTGCTGAGAAACGAAGCGTGCAGATTCCCTGAGTGAATTTTTTTTGTGGACTAGTTTATGTGAAATTCTGCTTTGGATGTAAAATCCTGAATCTTCCAAAGCTGTGTAAAATATTTTCTTTCTTTTGTCGGTCGAAGGAAAACTAAAGATTGTTACAGACAATCTTTGCTGCGTTCTGTATAATATTGCACTTAAAGAGAATTAAATATATAGATGTATTTCTGTTTTTGCGTAAATTTTAGATATACTTTATATTGGCATGTTCATACTTCATCATACAGTATTAAAGATATTATGGAGACGTATTAAATGCATTTTTTGAGATTCACACTAAGCTCTATTTAAAAGAAAAATACTTTGAAGATAAGCCATTGGTAACTGGTAAGGGTGTAAGTGAAATGAGTCCAGTCCACTCGTGACTCGCAGAAGTTCTTCTCAACATGTTTTCCTGTTTTGGATACTTATTCACCACACCCTAATATAACACACATATATATTTCTAACTGTCAAATTTTAAGATTTATCTTTTTCCGTCAACTTCATATATTTTTCTTACATTTTATCTTATTTAGCAACAAGTTAACTAAATCATAAATAAGAGAGAAAGTTGGAAGACAAGATTTGTCCAGAGACAAAAGTCTTGGTTTGTTTCTAGTGATTTAGGACAAAATGAACGTGTTCATACATAATAATTGAGAAACGAGAACATTTCACTAAACAATATATACTGAATTCAGAGAATAAGTTTTTGTTTATACTATTAAATTAACCACGCCAATGATACCCATCTTAGCAGTAACAGCTGTATTATTGACGACATGAACTGTAATAGTATATGATTACACGTACTTGAATACCCACTCAGCATTTTTAAAATTTAAAGTGAGTCATTGATTGTGTTATAAAAAAGTGAGTCATTGATCATTAGACAAAATTTATTATATTTATTTAGTTTTAATAATTTGAATTTTCACTGCCAACGAAATTCCTACATTTAATCTTCTTAAGAAAAACCTTTAATCCTTTTTTTTTCCTTTTTAACGTCAAAACATAGTTTTTAGAAGAGCATCTCCAAAAAAAAAAATTTAATTTAGAATTTACAAAACTCTATATCTGAAATTTAAAATTGTTATACTCCAAAATCAAAACTTCAAATTTAACATCAAAATTATTTGTATTTTATACTATTATCCCTATATTTGTCATAACTAATTCAAATTCATATAATTTTCATAAATAACAATAATATTGGTTGATAAAACGTTACACTAAAATATAAAATTATAAATATAAACATATAAGTAAATATTAAACTACAAGAAAAATACCATAATAACTCTTGTAATATTGTTGTTGTATAGTTCTAGTTTAAAATATTTAAAATATTATTTTGATGTTTTAAAAAAAAATTATGAAAATTTAAATTTATAAAATAATTTTAAAATATTTATGAGATAAAACTTTTTAAGGATTAAAACGATAGACAACAAAATATTTAAGAATTATAATATGATGTGTAATTGTGACTAAAATGTAAATAAAAAAGGCTCCAAATTTAAATTTTCAATAGTGACACTCTCTAAATTTGAAGTTTCAGTATTCAAAACTTCAAATTTAAAGTTTTGAAGTTTCTTTTGGAGAACCAAAAACTTCATATTTGAAGTTATAGAGAGTCTTTTGGAGATACTCTAAGTATATAATTATTGCATTACAACAGTTTTCAAGAAATAAGTCAACAATGAAAAAGACTCCATTGCAATGAGTGTAGAAGATCCGCACTTTTGTTAGAAGAATGTTTAATGAGTGTAGATTATAGAAATGAACATCGATTCTCAGCTGCGTATCGTTTCTATATAGTGTTGTAATCGATGATTAAAAGTTTGGTCACAGAGATGTTTGGTGATTATCTAATTGTCACCTTCAACTATCACACTTAGGAAACCCATACTCCATGTTGTTTGTATTGCCCAAATGAGTGCCGAAAGCTTAGCTTCCTCTGCTGTAAAACATTCTTCAAATTGCCCCATTCTACATTCCAGAAAATTACCATTACTACCCCGTAATATCCAACCCCCATACTGGATAGAGAATTAACCTTATGAAAAACATCATAGTTACACTTTATCCATCCTGGTGGAGGCCTTAACCATCGTGGTTGCAAGGAACTAACGGTGGTATTGCCCAGAGGGAACAAAGTTTTTGATATTTGAACATCACCCATTCTGAGATGTCACAATTGCCCGGTCAATGGTCTCTATCTCTCTCATTGTTTGTTGATTAAACTCCAATTCGTTTTGGCTTTTCCATTGATACCAAAGTATCTATAAAGGTAGTTTCTGTTGAGCATGTGAAAGGTTTGTATTTGATGTCATTTTGAAAATACATCTGAGTTTATCATCCAACGGAATGATGATATTCGATACGAGGGATGTGTAGGATGTTTGGAGCCGGCATTAATAGCAGAAGAGCATGTGAAGAAAATATGGTCACTTGTCTCTTCCTCAACACGTCAGCGATCATAGATGGGGTTAATGTTTATGTGCCGATACTTCAGACTGGCTTTCAACGGCATCGTTTGAGTAACAATTCGCCATAAAGTGTTTAGTTTCAGGGCTGTGTCTGAACCCCAAATACCTGTAGAAATATCTGGTTTAGTTGCAAGAACAAAAATATGTCCAAGTTCAAAAGGGAGATTATTTGGAATCATCTGATAACATGTCTTAACACTGTCACCATCTAGTGTATACTGCAATAGAACTTGATTCGGCATTGGCCAAGTAGGAAAATATAGCCGTGATATAAGGGAAATATCCTAATGTTCCGCAAGGTCTTCTAAGCATGATAAATCCCTTTGTTTAGTAATTAGATCAATAAGCAATGAGACTGTGAGAGTGGGATTTATATATGGCAGAAGTTTTGGTGATCTAGGGGGAGTTGTAGGAAGCCAAGCATCAGATAATATTGTCAGTTGAACGTTTCCAATATTGTCTTTGGTGGTGCCAACTTCAATAGTCTCCTCCTATGTGGATAGATTTTGGATGGATTTCACTACCATATTGACGAGGGAAGCTGTTCGGCGTATCTTCACTTCAGCGACGAGAAGATTTTGTGCCACTTTTATGGTTGCTTTTGTAGGGTGAGTATCCTTCCATCAGTGTTAGCGAACTTGATACATTGATGATAGGTCGAGGTATGACCTTCAAGATTTTGTGCCACTTTTATGGTTGCTTTTGTAGGGTGAGTATCCTTCCATCAGTGAATAGCGAACTTGATACATTGATGTAGGTTGAAGGTATGACCTTCATCGAGTGAATCCACGAAGTGCCGAGAATCACATTATATAGGGGCAGGTATTCGATAACATAGAATTTTATAATTCACATTACTTGACAAACACATTGAGGGGGGATCATTCCGAGCATTTCTTCCGAGGATCCGTTGAAGCCGGTACGCAATCAAGTAGAAGGCTTCATTTCGTGAAGATTGATTCTCATCCTCTCCAACATGTCATTGAGATGAGATTGATCGATCTGAATGTGTCAATGAAAACCCAAGTGACTTTGCAGTTCCCGATTCCAAGTTCCACTAGGAGTGGGTCATTGTGAGGGATGTGAACCCCTATGGCGTCTTCATTGGAGAAAGTGTTTCGGATGTCACTATCCGGACTGGTTAGCAATTTCTTTGCAGTTATCACCTTCTCTGGAACTCTTTTACGGATTAGACCGAGTCCATGACGTTTAGCCGAGGCGGATGCCTAAAATCCTTGGCTTTAGATTGGTTAAGTTTCCTCCTTAGGTCTTTGGTGCTGGACTTTTCGAGTTTCTTCTTTTTGTTCTCGACGTTGGACTTGTCAAGCTTCTTTCTCAAGTCTTCGGCTTTTGACTGTCAAGCTTCTTTCTCAGGTCATTGGTATTTTACTGATCAAGCTTCTTCCTCAAGTTCTCGACGTTGGGATGGTCAAGTTTCTTTCTCAGGTCCTTGGCCTTTTACTGATCCAGGCATCCAGCTTCTTTCTCAATTTGAGTTCATGATGAATGTCGGATACGTGTAACCGTCTGGTTGTTTTTATTTTGTGATTGTTGTTCGTAGGTCAGCGGATGTGGCCAAACTACTATTCGTCAGTGCCGACTTCCTCTTGAGCATGTCGTGTAAATCATGAGTGTGGGACTCGTTTTCAGAAGAGTATGAGGGTCCAACCATGATCATGTTGATACGCCTTTCTTTTTCTGGACCTGAGTAATCACGGTGATGGGATACTACAACCTCGTACTCGTGGGCCCCCCCCCATCCTGCATCCTATTTTGAGACTTTTGATATTTCTTTTCTTTGTTTTTACTGTAGCTTTTCTTATCTTGACCAGATTTTTTTGTTTCAGCGGATTTGGGTTTGTGAGACCATGCCAGTATTTTATCATGTCAAAGGGGTTTACAGGATTACCGGAAGGACTACTCCGAGGAGGTTGGATTTTTCTCTCGCCATCTCTCTCCCAAACATTTCATCCTTTCTCTCATTCGTGTATGAAGTAGCCTTGAAAGCGTCTAAACTCGGTTCTGGTGACCTCTACCACATCATTTCCTTTTTCTTTTGCTTCTTGTTGTGGTTGTGAAACAAAATCTCTGTGTTGGAATCTCAAATTCTGATTATTCTATTTATTTAATATTTTTTGTTTTAGTTGCATCTCTTTTAAAAAAAAAAAAAACTGAAAATTGGGATATTCTTGGTATATATATCAATATACTGATAATTGTTTTATGTAAAATCAATAATATTCTTAGATTTTAAACATGTTAAGCTCTAAAAATCATGATATAGTAACCATATTTGAACATTTCCATAACCCGCAATTTTATTAATCATAATTCCATGATTATATTTGATAAAATTAAAAATACTTAAATTATTTAAAAAATCACTAAAATAGACTACTATAATTTTTCTGAAGTATCAGATATTTTATCAAAAATTCTTACAATGTGAGTTTATCTGAATTATTCAAAAAATTTCCAAAAAAAAAAATCGGAAACAGACCTAAACCAAATTCAATTCCAAAATTTATCAAGTTCCTAACATTATTAACCCAAATAAGAAAACAAAATAGTCAAACTGAAACCAAACCCACATTAATAAATCATTATATTGTTTATATAGGAGAACTCACGTATGGTTTCATATAATCCTAACGGATCTATCTTACTTGGCCGAATCAGCTGAGTTGTGAGTTGGGTCGTTACATAATGCTTCAAATAATTTAAAATAATTTAAAAAAACAAAGTGCCTCAACAAACATCATAGAGAAAAACAATTAACTGATTAAAAGAACTAAATATTGGTCCCAACCTAATATTTCATAACCATACAACATATACTTGATACTGCAACTGAAAATCACACATCAAACCACATAACGTCAAGCAAAACGCAAAAACTAGATGACTTACAACATATCAAACAAACTACCAGCTATTCTATATCAATATGATCTACACCATTGCCAAAACCTTAAATCATCGTAATCCACCTGTTAGGAACAAGTAAATCAAACAGACAAACCACATCTAAACCCAAAACCCCGCGCAAAGCGCTGGTAACACCCTAATATTAGATATAACGATACGTATTGATCACTGGTCTCTCATTGAAGTGAGCAAAAAATGAGTAAATAATCAAAAGAAGGGTTTTTAGTAATAAAAAACTTCTCGATTAAAAGTGAATCGTAAAACAAAACTTTAACTAAAGATTTAATGAAATAAACCTTCAACTTTAATTCTGTTAATGTATATCACCATCCGTCACATAGTTGAAGGGTTTTATTACTACATGCGGTTAAATGTTTTAAAATCTTTAAAATCATTTATGTATTGTTTAAGACTCTTACAATTGATTTATAAATGTTTAAAATAATTTATAAATTTTTATACATTACTTTATCAATTTCATAACATGTTTATAAAGCTTTAAAAATATTTAATACTTTTATAAACTATTAATAAGGTTTAATGATGATTTTATAAATTTTTGTCTGTTATTTGTTAAGATGGAATAATACATGGTCTTTAGTGATATTATGAAAATATGAAGTAAATCAATAAATCTTTATAAAGAAGGAACACATAAAGTTTTCTTATATTAATACTGTCAAATATCAAATAATTTAAGATTTCTGAATTATATAAAGTTGCAAGTAGTGTTGAGTAATTAATTAGTTTAGAAATTCAACATTCTTATTTAAAGTATGGCAATGACTTTTTCTCCCCTTTACACGATTTCAATTTGAATCATATTTTATTTCTATTTTCGAAAAATAAGGTAGGGTATTTTTCTTCTTTTTGATTTCTGAACCAATATGTTAAACTCCTACCATATTAATCAATCAAACTTTTCTTGTTTTATTTATTTACTTCATGTTTTTGTAGTATGACGAACAACCACATCTTTAATTAATCTTATAAAATCATCATTAAAGCTTATTAATAATTAATAAAAGTATTAAAAACTTATAAAGCTTTATAAATAAATTATAAAATTGATAAAGTAATGTATAAAAATTTACAAATTATTTTAAACATTTATAAATCAGTTGTAAGAATCTTAATATTTTTAAGTTTTTACACAGTACAAAGTATTGTTTATTTTAATGAAAACTTTGTAATATATAATAACTTTTGTATTCAACTTATTAACGTTTTGATCGAATAATGAATATTGAAATTATAATGTATGTATTGATAAATATTGCGGGAGTTCTTTTGCTGTGCACATGAGGAGTTCTAATATTTGTAAGATGGTTATTATACATGCAAGTAGGGATTTTACATTACAGTCTTGCGTATATTAAAATATTCAATTCTATTAACACATTTTCATGTTCGCCCAAATATTTTTCTTATTTTTGAATAAAAACACCAAATCCTGCCATTAGTTTTTTCCCATGGAAAATATGGTGATATACATAAAAATGGTGATCTCATAAATAAAAAGACAAAGCAACAACGGAAACAACTCCCAACAAAATGTGAATAATGGTAAACTGTTTTATTGGCGACACAACAACGAAATGAAAACCTAATGTTTGATACTTTTGACGTTGGAGTTGGCTTTTAAAACCTAAACAATTACCAACGGGGGAGGATAGGCATGACTGTGAACTTCATAGTGCCATTGCTGCAGTGAGCACCGTCGTGCTCGCCGCATGAAATATAGTAAGGCTTCATTTTTGTAAGAACAAGCTCAAAACCATTCCCAGCACCTTGCTTTGGTGATGCTATCATATTTCCTTTCTTCACATCGCATTTTTCGTAGCTCGATGGGTTAGAAAACAAGTATACACTGTGCGTAAATGGTGCTGGTGGATTGTATTTGAACACTGCAGTCGAATAAACATATATATCACTGATGTTATCGTCAAACTTGCTAATATTATCAACAATGTCAACAATATGATGATTACGATGAATTTGGCAATAAAAAATGTCGACTATTTTGATGCAAACTATAGGTATTTTGTTTGACAATTTGCGAGATTATGTAAAAATTTGGAAAACAAAAACTCACCAAGTATGTCATTGACAAAGAAGGGAGCAGTCTTTGAAGCCCAGTCGGCGTAATTGAAACCGTAAGTCCACTCTTTATCTCCGCCCACTATGATCTTCCTAGGTTCATTGTAAGTGACGTTATAGCCTTTTGAGTGACCTCCCCAGCCCCAGCCAGAACCGGAGCTGCCAGATCCTGAGCTATTTGTATTTTTAGGACCACAACCAGAACCCGAGCTGCCAGATCCTGAGTTTTGTCCGTTGTTAGGACCCCATCCCCAACCCCATCCTGGATTTGAACCTGAACCACTTGAATGGTTGAAGCCCTTACCCCAACTCCAACCCCATCCCGAACCGGGGATTGAACCTGAACCACTTGAATAGTTGGTGCCTGCACCCCATCCTGAGCCGTTCCGGCTAGAGCCCCAACCCCATCCCGAGCCCGGGCTTGAACCTGAACTGCTTGAATAGTTTGAGCCTTTACCCCAACCCCATCCCGAGCCCCGGCTTGAACCTGAACTGCTTGAATAGTTTGAGCCTTTACCCCAACCCCATCCAAATGCCCTATTGGCCTCAGCAAATGTAGAGAATATGGAGGCCACAGTCACAAAGACTAAAACAAGATTAAGAAAACGAGAGTGTGCCATGTGAATTCTCAACTGATAAATGATTTTGATGGTTTTTTTTTAGATATAGAGATTGACTATTTATAGGAAAGAGATGGTGCCAAATTGCCAGAAATGTGAAATTTTAGTCACATACAAAAATGATAATGGACTAACATTCATTATTTTTAGCACGCCAATATTACATTCGCTCACAATGAGTAAAATAATAAGGTGCGGCCGTAAATATTTGAATTGTGGTTATCACAAAATAAAATAAACAAGTGAATAGTAGTGAGAAACCAAATTAATGAGACGAGTGGGTCAAAAAATGTGAAGATTCATCAGGAAATATTCACTGCACTTGTTTAGTGGAATGTCGTTGACTCTTCTTCACTTTAATTGCGACTTGAACTAATTAACGTTGACGAATCCTTACAAGTTACAATTTACCTATAATCCTTTTACTCTTCTATTTCATCATTATTTTCTCTTAGAACTACGTTTGCGTGACGATAAGATGATTAAACAATGGGATGAACAGAAACTGCGAGAATTTGTGATGGATGAAGATGTTTATCGGATACGAGATATCAATTTAAGTTCCAATGTAGAATAAGATTTAATGGGCTGGCAATACAATGACAAAAAAGTTAAACACGGTAAAGTCTGATTATTGGTTAAATACACACCTAGCAAATAACAATCAACTAGGATAAGACATGCGCCTTGCGCAGAGTGAATATACGTAATTGTTTTTATATGTATTTGAAATTTAAGAATTTTGGAATTTTTAAATAATTATCTATACGTAGGATCATAAACAATTGTAATTAGAACTGTAGATCAAATCTTAGAATTTAATGGACCTGATTTCATATATCTTTTCACTTTTTATTGTTCGAGTGATGGAAAATAAACAGAGTGTCATTGGGCTTGATTGGTAGAGTATTAGCAAATTTCCTAATGTTTTTTTAAGAAGCAGTTGGTAAAATAATTGCATTTAAAATATATAAAGTTTCAAAATTAATTTAATATAATTTATTTATTTGTATAATAATATTAGAAAATTATATTTTTTACAAATTATTATTTTTTAAATAATTTTATAAAAAATTAATTTACATTTTAAATTATTTTTAAAAACAATATTTTAAGTTTTTCAAAATACAAAAAAAAAGAATTTAAAGTTAATTATGGTCATGATTTAACATAACCGTAATGATTTAAAAAAATTAAAAAAAATTAACAAATTAAAAAATTAAAAATTAACTCAGTTTTATATCATGATTTAACAATTTAAAAATTAATTATGGTTATGAGAAGTTTACGTTCACTTGTTAATCCTATTTATCTTCAATTTTTTCTCTTGTTGTGTTTTTTTTTATATTTTGGTTATTACTCGATAGAAATATTGATTGGAGTTTATTCTCATTTCGTTTATTTGTTTTGACCTGAGATTTAGAAAATACTTAAAATTAAAAATAATTAAAAAGATACATACTTAGGTTAAGATCTGCACTTTATGCACAATAAGTATTTTATATTTATAACTTATTTTATAATATTCTGCATATCATAAAATAATAAAATAATAAATATATATATTACATAACTAAGAAATCAGTCACAATTATGTAATAAATTGACGTATGCATATAAATTTAACTATCACTTTTGTTTATTTGCAATTAGCGTAAATAAATCAAAACAATCAATCTTATATATTGTATATGATATATAATTAAATTTAAATGATATAAACATAGTAATATGGCACACTTTTAATATTGATATTTATTAAATGAGGTTTCTATTCATATGATTTTATGATTATTTACATATTTGTGTAACAAAACTTTACACCAACGATTTTTTTTAATGTGAGATGTTTAGTAGTTTCAATAATTTATAATCATTTTAAAAAAACAATGACATATTTCAAAATTAAAATATTAACTTTTCAGTATATGTTGAAGACAAATATCAAAATATAAGTATGTATTTTCATACGATTTATAGTTTAATTAAAACGATATGAAATATATATATATATATATAAACTAAAATTATTTCTTCATATGGCCTTATAATCATTATATTTTAATATAGAAAAAAATTTAAAACCTTGATCCTAAAAGTTTATGTGAGACTTTTAACAGTTTTAGTAATTTATACTCATTTTGAAAAATTCGAAATACAACATACACAAAAAAAAATCTAGATTTTTATTATATGATTAATGTAATTGTGTAATTTATTTTAATAATAAATAAATAAACAAAATGAGAAAAAATATACAGATTGTTATCAAATCTTTATTGTTTAAAATCATTAATTGTCATATATATTTTAATCATATTAGGTGATTCCGTAGGTTTTATTTAAGAAAAGCATGTGAAACAATAAATATTTGATATATACGACCAACTATAGTCTACAAAATATTATATTGCTAGAGAACATAATTTTTAGACTATACATTATATCACATGCTCTAGAATTCTTGGAATTTGAAATAGAAGTTAAAGAGATATGCCACATAGGATTGTGGTTATTTTTAATTCTTACAAACTTAAGGTTACAATTTTTTAAATGATTCTCAAATAATATATAGGGGAAGTCTTCCAACATATTACATATGGAAATGCGGATCTCAAGCACAAAATCTGGAAAGGCAAGACCCAGCAAAATTAAAAAAATTCCTATGGAGATTGTTGTCAAGAAGTCTTCCAACATATGATAACTTGAAGAGAAGACATGTCATCCGTGATGCACAATGTAGACGTTGAATGGCTGAAGAAACAAAATAACACATTTTCTATGAATGTCCATATGCTAGATGATTTGGTTAGAGTATCGGGGCTATCTAACTTAATTATTAATAGTTATACTATCATTTGAAGAAAAGATTGAGGCATTTCTATGGACGACTACTAATGGAAAATGACTTACTTGCTACTGAGATTGTAAAAGACTATCACAAATTGCCCCATTGTGCCATGAAAATAGACATCTCCAAAGCATTTGAATTGGTGCAATGGTCTTTTGTTCTAAATTCACTAGCAACAATGGATTTCCGGCTGAATTCATTCACCGGATACGTCTATGTATCACTACGGTCCCGGTTAATGGGGAATTAGCGGGTTACTTTGGAAGTGAGCGTGGTATGAGGCAGCGATGCTCTCTCTCTCCCCATAATCTTTTTTTGTGATCTTCATAAATCTTTTATCTCTGAAAATAGACAAGGCAGCTGTGGAGAAGAGATTTGGCTATCACCTAAAATGTAAGTCAATTCTCTCACACACCTTTGTTTTGCGGATGATCTTATGGTCTTTGTGGAGGGGAATAAGCGATCAATAGAAGGAATTATCTCGGTCTTTGATGAATTTGCGCGGTGGTCTGGTTTAAGGATCAGTCTAGAGAAATCTACTATCTACATGGCGGGCACCCCAGATAATATGAGAAAATTGATCCTCACAAACTTTCCATTTGAAGAAGGAGAGCTGCCAGTTTGATATTAATTAGGCCTTCCTCTAATGACTAAGGGTATGACTAAGCATGATTATTACCATTGGTAGAGAAGGTCAGAGCTCGGGTTAGCACTTGGACAAACAGATTTATCTCTTATGCAGGAAGGTTGCAGTTAATAAAATCAGAGAGATCACGAGCTCTGTAAATTTCTAATCTTCAGCATACATGCTACCTAGCCAATGTATGAAAAAATAGAATCGATATGTTCAGTTTTTGTCTGGTGTGGACCTGAACTAAGTACTAGGAAAGCTAAAGTTGCATGAATTGATTGTTTTCTGCCTCAAAAGAAAGGTGGCTTAGCTAGGTCTTCAGCAGTTAAAGCAAGTCAATCTGGTTAATGGGTTGAAGCTGATCTGGAGGATGGTTTCGAACCAATCATTATGGGGGAAATAGGTGAATGATTAACTCTTTCATCACAAATACTTTTGGGATATCAGTGATCATACCCAATTGGGTTCCTGGATGTAGAAGAAGATTTTGAAGTTAAGAAGCAAAGCGAAACAGTTTTACAAAAAAGCCATTGGTAATGGAAAGCAAACTTCGTTCTTGTTTTACCTTACTCTGAGATTGGCCCTCTCTTCGACCTTCTGGATATCGCGGGGTCATTGATCTGGGGATAAATCACACAGCCAGAGTTGTAGAAGTCTTAAGTATGCATAGACGTAGAACAAGACACCGCTCTAATATTCTGACAGAGATGGAGATGGAAATCTTAATTGCAAAAAAAAAAAGAGGCGAGCAGTGGAAAATATTCATCTATGGAAAAAGAGAACTGGCTACAAAGATTATTTTTCAACGTACGAGACTTGGCGAATGATTCGAGAGAAACAACCGAATGATAAAAGAGAAACAACCGGCATGCGACTTGGCCTCTGGCGTCTGGTTAGTAGAGCCACTCCAAAATTTTCTTTTTCAGCTATCTTGCTATGTGAAACAAGCTTTCAACCATGTACACGGTTTGAGTTGGAATAGAGGGGTAAAAACGGGTTGCATTATCTGCTAACACGCCTTAGAAACTCGGATCATTAATTTTCTTTTGTGTTCTTACACCTCTCAAATGTGGGAGAAGCGTGCCCGTGGGATGTTGCAGAGACCTTACACCCAGAGCTGCCGGCTTTGGTTTTAATGATATATGATGGATCAACAGAGTAAAACCTGCAGTTCTGCACTCGTTACGCTTTTCAAAATGCTGTGCACACTATCTGGAGGGAAAGGAATCAGCGCCAGCACGGGGAGTCCCCGACTCCTCATCTCAAAAAATGAATAGACAAGAGCGTTAGGTATCGGCTATTTCTGCTCCGGCAATCCGATCCTAATCGTTATGGAAACAATTTATCATTTTGGTCCGGGAGTAGATAAACTTTGTGCATAGATTTTTAATTCAAACACTGCTGCATTTGGTGCACCAACTGGGGTTTTTTTAATTAATTGCATTCATTCCCAAAAAAAGAAGAAGAAAGATTGAGGCATATCTACAATGTTGTACAATCACTCGGCTAGTGCACTTTCAAGACCTATCATTTTGGTTTCTATGGAGACTATGGAAGAGTAGACAC